TATTTATTTTAAAATATATTTTATTGATTTTTCACAGAGAGGAAGGGAGAGGAATAGAGAGTCAGAAACATCGATGAGAGAGAAACATCGATCAGCTGCCTCCTGCACACTCCCTACTGGGTATGTGCCCGCAACCAAGGTACATGCCCTTGACCAGAATCGAACCCGGGACCCTTGAGTCCGCAGGCCGACGCTCTATCCACTGAGCCAAACCGGCCAGAGCCAGATGGTTTATTTATTCATACAATTCTTTCCCGGGGAGTGAAGCTGCACCTTGGAGTTCTTTATAGAGGGAGTGGCCTCTAAACTGTTGAACTGACATCTGGTGAAAATGAGCAGATGGAAGGAATAAGCCACAACTGAGTGTCACTTTGGGCTGCCCACCTTTGTGTGGATAGAGAAGCAGGCTGATGATTGCTTAGGTTGACCAAATGGAAGAGGTTCAGAGATCATGGGGCAGAGGGGTGAGGGGCAGAGTTGACAAGCCAGGTGGAATCCCTCCGAGTCTTCTGGATTCTCATAATTTGGCTCCATCTTGGGCTCAAGACCTGCCCTTGGACTAACTAGTCTGAAAGAGGGGCCCAGACAAATGGTCTTGCTAAGAACTACCCAACAAGCAAAAACTGCTCTTGTAGGGCAAAGGAAAAAGTGGAACCATTAATAGCCTCTTGAACCCGAAACCCAGTCCTTACCCAGAGTAATCAATTATCTGTTACACAAAAGAGTGTCTGGCAGTAGTGTGGGCAGTGGAACAAAAAATTTGTTCTGTTGACAGACCAGTTGTAGATGCAGACCATGATGAGTTCCAACCACAAAGGTCATCAATGGATGAGTAAGAGGACAGAAGCAGAGGCCATACTGTTTGAGAACTAGTGACTCAGGACTGTGATTCTGGAACATATCCTTCTCCCCCTTGACCTTTACAAGAAAAAGATGGGAAGGGAAAGGGAGTAAGGATGATCTTTAATCTCTATCTGCCTCTCATCTCTTCTCAACCACATGTGCTAAAGTATTCAATCTCTTTGGTGAAATTATATACAACAACAACAACAACAACAAAATCTCTTTGTCTCCTTTAGAAAAGAGAAATGGCTCTTCAATTTATTATAAGAGGAGTTAAAACTCAGTAAGATCAAAAGGCATGTGGGCTAGAGGTAGAGGCTGGAAAGAGGAAGAAACGGGGGGAGGAGAGAAGGACAATATGACTTGAGTGTCAAAGCAAGAGTCTTCGTGGGAAGGGAGGCTTTTCAACCTGAAAGGAGAAAGAGAACTCTGGCTTTTTGGAGTTTTAGATCAAGACTATAACCACAGAGATATGTCCAGATCAAAAGGGTTCAGGAAGACCTGCCTCCCAACCAAGCAAAGCAGAACTGAGCCCACGCCCAGCACAAATCTTGACTACCACCGCTTGAGGGCTGACCCCTTGCACGCGCTTCAGTGTACTTGCAAGGAGAAAAAGATGATCTTTTCAGAAGTTACTCTGGTGTGCAGTCTCGAGGAGGGAGATGGGGACAAACAATGCTTCCAAGCCACAATCTAAACTGATTTTAAATGACCTATCTCCTGGGCTTCCTTAATGTAAGCCAAACCCTTTCAGTTATTTCATGACTGTACTTTCAATTGCATTGTACTTTTAACCTTATTTTCCTAAGAATAAACTTTATGCAACATTGCCCGAAAGGCATAGGGATTTTCTTCCCTTTCTCCACACCACGGTTAAGTCATCATGTAAGTAGTTATTAAAATTCAGGAAACTTGTAGCTCTTGATCATGTTCTACTGACAGTCTGGAGCAAGCTGACTCCCTAGACCATGAGTCTTGCTCATGACAAGAACTGGTTGTCTTCTTGTCCGGAATGTCCTCCCTGCCCCAATGTTCCCCCTCTGCCCTGGCTATCCCTTAAGGCCCAGCCCCACACTCCTGAGCTGAGCAGCAAAGCTCTGATCTCCCACCCAGACACTTCAGCTCCCATCATCTGTGCCACTAACACTGCATGTACTTTCTGCCTTTTTTGGTAGTGGTTTGTGCCCGTGCCTGACTACAATTTAAGACTGGTAGCTTCTGGCAGCTGCAGACTGTTACTCACTTTCCTTAGTGCTTATCCACCATGGTGCCCTGCTTCTGAGAAGTGCAGACGGTATGTTAACTGAGTGCACTGGCCTCTCCCCTAAGTGACAGACACTCCTGCAATGGAGCTAATATTCTCTCTCTTGTCTTTCAGATTCTCCAGTGTTCCAAGAAATACATCTCTTCCTTCCCTGAAGAAAGTACAGTTATTTTGTGTATCCAGTTTCTTGTGGAGAAATACTTGTAAACTTTGCAAATATCTTATTTCTTATCACAGTTTCGCACCAAAATTTTACAATTCATCAATGGTTCTTGCCTATAATAATTTATTACTGGGGTTTCCTAATGGTGATTTCCTATTTCCCTCATTCCTTTTACACTTATTGAAATTCTTTTAAAAATAAGAGCTGTACCTTACCCCCTCCCACTGATATATTTATTCAATTATTCATATCAGTATGAACTCATAAATATTTATTTTATTCTATAGATCATAACCCAATACTATGATTATTTATTTTGTTGTTTAAGCTTTACTTTCTTTATCTGTGAATTAAGGACAATGACAACCGCCTTACAAAACTGTCCCTAGGATTAAATGGGATTTAAAAATGTGAAAATATCTAGTCCAGAGCACCTAGTAAATAAATGCTAGCTCCTTTCCTTCCTCTTCTTTACAGAAAGTAAAACCATGCTAATTTGGAGGCAAAACCATTCTAAGTAGGTGAAAGTCTGAACTGAAGAATTCCCCTTTAATGTAATTCAGCGTTTCCACCCTAAGGTATATAAACAAGAATTTAGCTATCCCAGTTTGTCTAGCGGAGGTCATTTGGGATCTGCCTATAATGACTATATAAGATTGATTTTTAATCTGCATGCCCATAATTTGTATGAAAATAGATGCTTGAGAATACTTGAAAACAGACTGTTCTCTTAAGTAGATTAAGTGTTTTCCCAGAAATCTTGTTTATGTTCTGAAGTTGCTTAGCTAAACTATTTTCAGAGATAGTCCAAAGCGTGCCTCAACCCAGCTGTGGTTCCGATGATCACTAACTCTGAATTAATGATATCACTGATTCATCTTGGATTCCTAAGGTTATAGCAGTGAATGGAAGAAATTCAAGTTTTCTTTCTCCAAAATTAATTTAAAATTAGATTTTAAAAGTTTGGGCAAATCACTTTTAAGTTCAGGTGGGATTTAAAACAATAACAACAACAAAGGATAAGGGCAAGGTCCCACATTAAATGAGAGTGACTAGATCTGGAAGTTTAAAATAATTCACAAAATACAGTAAAATACCATATGAAATCACACAGTTTACTGGAACTTTCATTTTCCACCCAGCTTTATTGATAAGGAAAATCAAGATCGTCAGGAGATTTATTTTAAAAAACAGTGTTGTCATGCGGACACCCAGAGAGTCTGTTTTACTCAATGTGGGGTGGGGCCAGGAACCTGTATTTTTATCAGGTGCCACTCCACAATATGAGTCTTGATACAGGTGGGAGGCAGAATACCACAGCAGTTCAAAGCCCAGGCTCTGGGGATCTGGCAGCGTGGGTTTGAATCTCACTATTGCTACCTACTACCTATATAATCTTGGGCAAATGATTTCATCTCCTTGTGCCTCAGTTTCCCCACTGGTAGTGTAGGGCTAATGACAGTATCTGCTTCCCAGGGCTGTGAGGAGCAAATCAATGGTATATGTAGCTGATTAGCAGGGCAGTGTTAGATGGAGATCAGCAATTCCCAAGGGTCATGGATCTCCCATTGAGGAACATATCTGGGCACAGAACTAACTGCTTGAGCTGAGCCCTTAATATGTCTACATCCACTGTGCCTCCCCATGGTCACTGAAATTTACATCCATCATCTGGGTCATGATTGGCAGGCTATGGAGACTGTGAGGTGAGCTGCTATCATTAGAAAGTGTTTAACTAACAAAGGTGGATTGATCCACTGTCAATCAGAATTATACAGGACTAGAATGGGAGTATAATTTTTGCATTTACTACTATAATTGTGGAATTAAACCAACCACCAACAACTACAGAAACTGAAAGTTGTGTTTAATCTTCAAGGCAAAAGAAATAAAGTCTAAAAGACAGCAATTGTAGAACAGAAAACTTTGAGTGTGTGGTTATACTATGGAGGAGAAGTGTTCTTTAAGCCCAACAGCACAGCATCCCTGACCCTTGCCCTGCATGGAGACCTGCCTCTCCTCCTTCCTATCCCTTGTCCTTGCTCCAGGGTCACAGCATGTCAGCCAGTTGGCCCTCCTCCTCCTCCTAGTTGCCACTAGACCTGCCTCCCTTCCAAGTGTTCCCAGACTCTGGTTACAGCTTCCTCCTCAGAACTGGCTGGTAAGGTCTCAGAGGCCTTGGAGGGACTTTCTGGGGGCTGGGGATGTTGATGGGATCAGAGGACAGGAGGGGGTGACTCACTGTCCCTCAAGACCACTTTCCTCCCCACTTTCCTGACCCAGGTGTTGGTGTTTAGTGTCTGCTGAGGAGGCCTGACAGTGGATCCTGTGGCCAGGGATCATGCTGACCAAACTCAAAATCAAAACATCTAATATTGAAAGCACATGAAGAAATCAGGGGGAGAATATTTGAAAACGGGCACAGGGAGAATATTCTGGAAGGGAGGGGAGAGAAGTTGGGGATTGGTTGCCCAAAGGGAGAAGGCTTGTGGACTTGGTAATGATATGAGGTGGAGAGAGCATCACTTAGGCTTCGGTCAGTTAGAGTGAAGTGAGAGGGAGGATGACAATGTGCTGTCTGTCTCAGTGCCTGGAAAGAAAGCAGTCATCGTGGAAGTGGCAAGACAGACAGGTAGATGAGATGTCAGTAACAGACAAACCAAGAAGGAGAAATGCTTAAAAACCACTTACTAGAAATTCTTACAAAAACATCTGAAAGTGGCTCCTTACCTCATTAAATCTCATCACGAGATCTTCAAGAGCATTGTGCTCTCTGTTCTGGGAGTTAAGAATTGATGCTGAGATGGATGCTTTGAGGCAGGGCAGGGACCTCTGACATTCTGGAGTGCTCAAGTTCTGGGTCAAGAAGCAAAGATAGTCAACCGGCAAGACCCTTCGGTAGATATTCTGTTCCTGCTCCATCAGGATGCTGGCGACTTCCTCGGGGAACTGGATGAGGGGCTGCAGATCAATCAGCTCCTTGCTGATCCCAGCTGAACTTGAAGGGAGGGCATTGGAATTGGCCATAGAGGTGCCCGGTTGGCGTTCTGGAATAAAGCCACAGAGGTCATGGTCACACCAAGGTTGGTTTTCCTGACAACCGATATCTACTTGAGAGCCATTCATAGTCATGTAGGTTTCTTAAAGTTTCTGCAGTTCTATACTATCTTTCTTGTTATAGAGACCTGATATCTGCCCTGCTGCTTCCCCTGTCCCCCTCCCTGGGGCTAGGGGTAGGAGTAGTTTCCCATTTTCAGAAGTAAAATTGATTTGGCACACCATTCCCTACCCAGTTCACTGTGACACTTGCAGAATAGCAGGGAAAATGTAGCATTTGATTCTTCATCCTGCAGTGCTAACCATCAAAGTGAAAAGAAATAAGGGTGGGTGTGGGCACAGCAACTGAAATGAAATGAAAGAAGGCTGTGGGGGAGGAGGCATGTACATGTATGTGCACATATGTGTAAACATGCAGGAGAACTGGGGACTCTGTACTCGAGGTTTCAAAACTTCATGGTCTACTCTGCAAACATCTCACCCTCAAAACCCGGATTCCACTGAAATCCATTTGGGGATTTGCGGGGATGGACCACCTACCAAAGTAAAAAAGGAACAGGAAGAAAGGACACATATCTAAATAAATAAAATAAATAAATCTTCCCTGCCCCACAACTGGTAGTAAGAAGATGGCATGGGAGAGGAAGTGAGGGGGGGGCATTATATTAAAGTATTGAATGCATTTGTAGACTCAATATTATTCCCTTAGCACAAATTCACTTTATTTTGACCACTCCCCTCCCCTCCAATCTGTCTCTTAATTTCCTACTTATGTCATTTATTTATTCATCTACTTAACCAATCATCCATCAGTTCATTCAAAAAACTGAAAATCTGAATCCTAGAACAGAATTTCCCAAAGTATGACCCGTTTTGTGGCCACTGAGTTGGGGAAAAGTCACATATTCTTGTCACAAATTCTATTCCTGGAAATAAATGGGGCACATGGGTACACCATTAGAGTTTCAAAGGGGTCTGCCAGTAAAGGAATCCATTTATATTGCTTAACCGAGTATTTCTCCAGAGCCATACTTTTATATGCTACTTACTGTGCCATTCTGTGTGACTAGTGCTGGCTGGAGCCATTTCAGGAAATGCTGCCCCGAGGGCCAAACTGTTCTTGCTCTCCGCCAGTTCACATCTTTTCCTTCCTGGCAGTCCCTCCCTGGCCAGCCCTCCTTCACGCTTCTCATGGTGCTTCATGAGGGGACCATGTTTGGTTTTCCCAGAATCTTTCTTACATTCTTGCTTTCTTAAAAACCCTTACTGACCCTTTAACAGAATAAAACTCATCTGTCTTCTGATGACACTGTATTTGTTGGCACAGACTGACATCTGGCCTGGACACTAAACAACAGCAAAGCTAATGTAAAGGTGAAGGAATTAAGCAAAAACAAAAATTAACTTGTAGACACAGACAACAGTATGGTAATTACCAGAGGGAAAGAGGGGTGTGGGGAAGTAGAAGAGGTTTAAGGGGGGATACATGGTGATGGAAGAAGACTTGACTTGCGGTGGTGAACATACAGTACAATATACAGATAATTTGTTATAGAATTGTACACCTGAAACCTATATAATTTTATTAACCAATGTAACCCCAATAAATTCAATTAAAAAACACTTCTTCAACATCCAGACTTCAATATCCTTGATTCTTTTATCTCTATTGCAGGAAACTTTGGATCATCACTCCAAAGTGCTCTGTCTCCGTATTGCTGAGTTCTGAAGTCATCACCCCTGAACTGACCTCCATTTCCTCTCCACCTTTTCTACTAAACTTTCTCTGCCTCAGCCGACTTCCAGCTGCTTGACCTTGGTCTGGGTTCATGGTCAGCATTTTAACATGGCACCCACCAACTCCCAGGATTCCCTCACAGGTCACCTTGACTTTCCATCAAATGCACTTCCCAAACCTCAATCCTGGGCAAACTCAGCCAACTATACTTGGCTTCTGGGAGGCTAAATGATGATAAATGTCAATGACAATCCCTTAGGATGGGACCCTTGCTGAACTGTGTTACCATACTGTAGCCAGGCCCTCAAGGCAGCTTCGAACGTGACATAAATTTATTTATTTTTCCCTAAATAACTCAACAAGGCCCACCTCAGTTTGTGATAAAGTCTACTGAACTTGCCTCAGTGGTTATCTCCACCTCCAGTCCCTTTCTTTCCACTGACTCTCATTTGCCCACACAAATGTTCCATTTCCCTTATTCTTAAAAAGAAACCAATAAACTTCCTTGTCCCTTAAACTCCAAATCACCTCTAGCCTCCACTTTATTATGGACCTTCTCTAAAGGGTAATCTACATTCCTGATTCCTTCCTCTGTAAATATGGTGACCACATCTTCCGATTCAAAACTCAGTCAGTCTGTTCAAATGAACAGGCTAGTGAGGATGCAGGAGAGAAAAAATAGACACCAGGTCTGTCTTGGGAGTTCCTAGGTCTTTTTAAAAAATATATATTTTATTGTGTTTTTTTTTACAGAGAGGAAGGGAGAGGGATAGAGAGCCAGAAACATCGATGAGAGAGAAACATCAGCTGCCTCCTGCACACTCCCCACTGGGGATGTGCCCACAACCAAGGTACATGCCCTCGACCAGAATCGAACCTGTGACCCTTGAGTCCGCAGGCTGACGCTCTATCCACTGAGCCAAACCGGTTAGGGCAGGAGTTCCTTGGTCTTAGATCACTGTGTTGACAGGGCATTTCTGCTGATAGTCTGAGCTCTGATATTCCCCTCCTCAACTCCCCTAAGCAGTCCACCTCTTTTGAAGCATAGCTCAGGAAAAGTTCTTGGTGGTATTTGCTATCTAATTAAGTGAAATGCTCCCTTTTGGAGGAATGCTTCCAGCAGTGACCTAAACAAATTGTGAGGAGAAAGTCTGAGCTACAGTGCTCTCCTCTGATGCAAGCCTAAACTAGTTTTACATACAGGGTGGGGCAAAAGTGGGTTTACAGTTGTTCATATGGAAAATAATATAATAATTAGTAAATAATGATATAAGAATAAACTCTGTTTTGTATACTCACAACTATAAACCTACTTTTGCCCTACCCTGTAAATTCCGATCAGAACTTTCTGTTTTCTCTTTTGTATGAAAACTAGAGTATCCAAAGTATCATTTCCTTTTGATTCTAATAGGTGAATACGGAGTACAATGACTTAGTCTAACAATTTTTATCCATCTTTTGGAACAAGCTACCAAAAATTGACTGCATAAAAAAACAAAGACTACCAAATTTGGTTCACTGTAAGGTCATATTTGAAAATAATTAAAGAGAAGGCAGGAACTCAAATCTATATAGCTTACATGTCCTCATTCTTCAACTTTCTGGAAAGTTTACAGAATGACTGGATTTCCTGAAAAATTGAGTCAGAATGTGGCCTAATGACAGAGGCAGTTTCTGGATACAAATAATTTATGTGCAAGAGAATTAGCCATATATAGGAGGTCTTCCCAGAAGTAACCAGCTTGAAGACACGATTTCAAAGTACAGCACTCCATGAAGGAAATGAAAATAACTCCCAAATTTTATGGAACCAATTATTTAATATGTAAGAGAAGAAATAATGTAATAAAATATGTAAGTAATGTTAGATAAGATGATATATTATTAACTGCACTATATCTTGAGATATGAATCACATGCTGCTACAATGAATAAAGAACCTAGTAATTGGTGGGGAATAGCAATAAATGAGACCTAAAAAACTGAATAAATGAAGAAAAAGAAGCCCGCTCAGTGGGACCCTAACAAATGTAGTGTCCCCATGTGTCTCAGTATAAGAATGACATCACTCAAAGGAAACACAAATCTGATGTTTGAAACCTTGAAACATAATATAGACCTTTAGTGTAGGTTTCCTTAAAGCAGGATTACTCAGGAATTTTTTTTATCATGACCACAAAGAAACATCCCAGAAATCTTCTTGGGACAGAATTTTCTGCCCTCCAAGTTCCACATTTTAGCAGCTGTCAAAACAAACTAAAAAAGATATCAGCTTTGTGGTTATGATAGGCAGGAGTGCAGAGAGGAGGAATTGAGGAAGGCGGTCCAAAGGTACACATTTCCAGTTATAAGTTAAAAAGTACTAAGGCTATAAAAGGCACAACACAATGGCTATAGTTAACACTGCTGTATGGTACATATTAAAGTAGTTAACAGAGTAAATCCTCAGAGTTCTCATTACAAGGAAAATAATTTTTTTTTAAATTTTCTTTTCATTTTATGTATCTACATGATGATGAGTGCTAACTGAACTTATTGTGATAATCATTTCATAATATATGTAAGTCAAATCATTATGCTGTACACCTTAAACTTCTACAGTGACATATGTCAATTATATCTCAATAAAACTGGAAAAATAGATTTCCCACCTTATTGCGTTCTTGCTGACCTCTCCTTATAATTTCCTCCATCCCCTTCACATGCCATGTTACCCCAACTCTCAGCTGTAAGTCACATCACCCTTCCTCTCTGTAATATGGGCAACTCTACAATGAGTTAAAGGCCCAGTAGCTCTATGACCCTGGATCCTTTCTCTTAATTTGTGGAGCAAATTTCATAAAGCCCACTGAAAACTTTAGTTCTTTTACTGAGAAAATTATTTTTAAAGTTTCTGGTGAATAAAATTATCTACCTCATTTATGGTCAATGTTTGCTCTCAGCCCTTTAGTTAATACTTACCCTACAGCAGAATAGGGCTATATCTCTAGACACTGTCATAACCTAGAAACATCTATGATGAGACAGTATTTTCAAGTTTTCATTCCCTGCTCAAATAATAGCTTCCTGAACGTAGTGCTTTATATGGATTAATTCAGGGGGTAGGCAGTATCACTACTCATGGGAGGCTCACATAAGGTTCCATAAGTAGTAAGCCAGGGAGCTGGGGTTTGAATCAGGGTCTATTTGACTCCAGAGCTCATGTTCTTGGTCATTCAGCATATTGCCTGTGCAGCAACAAAATGCCACATT